GGGAAGGGAAGGGAAGGGAAGGGAAGGGAAGGGAAGGGAAGGGAAGGGAAGGGAAGGGAAGGGAAGGGAAGGGAAGGGAAGGGAAGGGAAGGGAAGGGAAGGGAAGGGAAGGGAAGGGAAGGGAAGGGAAGGGAAGGGAAGGGAAGGGGTGTGAGGTGGCCCGAGGGTGGTCTTTAGTATCTAAAGGGGGCTGTAAGAAGGAAGAGGCCAGACTCTTCAGCGGGGTCTGGACAGATGGGACAATGATAAAGAGCCCTGATCAATACCTTCAAGGAACAGACATTCTCCTTCTGCACAGCCTTCACAGATACAAGCCCTGGAGATAGAAACTCCACTTTCTGGAATGTCTGCAATTCATTAGCAACAGCCCAGTTTAAAACATTTGTACTGCCTGCAGAGCAGGCTACCTGAAACACCTCTGAAATCACAGCTGACACAGTGAGCTCTGAACATAAATTCCACACAAGTTTATCTTTCAGCAGAATATTACTGTTATTTCTACTGGCTGGGAGAGGCATAACTAATGTGCAAAGGTGAAAGGATTACACAGGGACAAATGGAACCCATTAAGCAGAGCTTGGAAATGAGGAATGTGAGCATTGCGTTGTTTCTCTCAGGAAAAACAAAGCTGAGCGACACGTGTTCTACCCTGCACTTGTCATTGCTCACATTCTGTGGCAAGCAGAAACCCTCAATCTTTTTTCCTATTAAACAAGCTCCTTTGCTAAGATAGATGCCTAAGGACAGAGAGGAATTCTCGAGAGACATTTCTTCCTACACAACCCGTGAGGAAGCGCAGACGGCTGGGTGGACCTGGGCATTTGGTGGATGAGGCCACACAAATCCAGAAGGAACTGCTCCTGCAAAGGTTGGGTGCTGTTTCATTTGGTCTGGTGATGCGACGTCTTGGTACAATTCACCATTCTTACATTATTAGTTTTTGGAACGCTCCTCACAAAGCAGATCACAGCGATGGGGGTCACAGTCTCACGTTAAGAGTGGACTTTTGCCTTATTGCTGCAGTTGCCTGATGATTTTCTGTGAAATTCTGCCACATGCTATACATGATTTCTTCTAAGTGCAAGAAAATCATCTCTGTTTTCCCAACATATCTTTCTCTGCTTTGGATGACTTCAGAAATGCGCTCCTTCCCAGCCCTTCACCTCAAAGATGCTTGGTGACACCGGATATCACATCATCTGGTCCACAATAAGACATCAGGAAGGTTTTTCACCCCAAGTCTTATTTCTCCTGCACTTCTCAGGAGCACAGCTCCTGGTCAGCAGCCTGTGGGAGTCGTGGAGACAGCAGTGAGTCTGCGGGGGGAGGCCGGGATCTGTCTCTCAGGACCCCGACTCATGTTTTCATGGTGGCTGAAAATACTGTGGTTGGATTTTCCCTCTGCTGACTTCCTAAGCTCTAAGCCAAGGAAAACGAAAGAGCAGCGTGCCATCTCGTTGAGGATCCCTGCTGTTTTTGACGAGCTGCGAGCTGTGCTCTGTGTAGTGATCTTACACACCTTCAGAGCTGCTCCGTGAGAGGATTTTACCTATTAACAAATGCTTTCAGTATCACCCTCATCAGGGCATCCTTCACCTCCCTGTTCCTCAGGCTGTAAATCAGGGGGTTCACCGCAGGGATCACCAGCGTGTAAAACACAGCCGCCGCTTTGCACTGATCAGCAGAGCTGCTGGGTCTCAAGTAGATGAAGAAGAGGGTGCCATAAAACAGGGTGACAGCAGACAGGTGGGAGGCACAGGTGGAAAAAGCTTTCCACCTGTCTTGGGCAGCGCGAATCTGCAGGACAGCAAAGATGATGCACAGGTAAGAGATGAGGACGGCACTGACGGTGCCTGAGCCTGCAGCTGCAGCCAAGGCCACGTGCAGCCCGAGAGCAAAGCGCGAGTCGGAGCAGGAGAGCTGCTGCAGCGCCGGGATGTCGCAGAAGAAGTGATCGATGACACGGGACCTGCAGAACGACAGGCTGAACAGGGAAGCTGTGTGGGCGACTGAATTGATGCATCCACACAGGTACGAGACACAGACCAGCCGGCAGCACTGCTGTCTGGACACGAGCAGCGCGTAGCGCAGTGGGTTGCAGACAGACACGAACCGGTCGTACGCCATCACGGCTAGGAGCACGACTTCAGCATTGATGGAAAAAGAGTGAAGAAAAAACTGTGCAGCGCAGCCCGGAAATGAAATTACCTTCTTCTTTGCTAACAGATTCGTCAGCGTCTTGGGAGCGATTGCAGAGGAGTAGGTGATGTCAATGAGGGCCAGGTTGCAGAGGAAAAAGTACATGGGGGTCTGCAGGCGAGAGTCGACTCGGGTTAACGTGATGATGGTGAGATTCCCCACCAGGCTGGCGGTGTAAATGAGGAGCAGCAGGGTGAAGAGGAAGGCTTGTAGCTGAGGGCTGTCAGTGAAGCCTCGGAGGACAAACTCTGTCACCTCGGTGAGATTTCCCTCCAGCATCCCTCTCAGGAGAACCGCATGCAGCTGCAAGCAAGCAGACACACCAGTGAGCAAAGCAGAACGGCCCTTATCTCAAGTTTTACTCGACAGCAAAGTAAATAAACAGAGACCTCCGGCACTAGAAAGTGTGCAGGTGGGGTAAAAAAAAAAAGAAAAAAAGCTCTCCTGTCGTCTTTCTTCCTGTCTTCTTTCTTCCTGTCTTCTTTCTTCCTATCTTCTTTCTTCCTGTCTTCTTTCTTCCTGTCATCTTTCTTCCTGTCTTCTTTCTTCCTATCTTCTTTCTTCCTATCTTCTTTCTTCCTGTCTTCTTTCTTCCTATCTTCCTTCTTCCTATCTTCTTTCTTCCTGTCTTCTTTCTTCCTATCTTCTTTCTTCCTATCTTCTTTCCATCATGTGGGGATGGACAATGAAATGCGTTTCAGAAAATTCTTTCCCTCGGGACACAATGTTCCAGCAGCTGGGGTGAGCTCACACTTGCTGGATGATTCGTCACCTCTTTGGGAGTTGCAGGGGTTTCACATCGAAAGCGACCACGCGAACGTCCTGTAAAGCTGTCACGGAGATCGACTCAGAGGAAGGCAGCTGACAAGAATCTCAGCCTCATTCTGAAGCACAGCACAGTGCTCCAAGGTGGAAAAGCTTGAAGAAGCCCAGACCTTACAGCCCTTCCACTGCTGGAATTGGAAAGCAGCGCTGTTTTCTGACCAGCTGCTCAGACTGCATTTCAGGATGAGTGCCGGTCACTGCAGCTGGACTTCCTCTCCCTCACTCTTTGCATTCATTCCCCACGAGGTCTCCCCACCACATCCTTCCTCACTTCCCCTCCTCCTTTGTCCCGTGTTGCAGGGAATCACACACACACTCAATCACACACACACAATCACACACAATCACACAATCACACACTCACAATCATGATCACACTCACACACATTCACACTCACAATCACAATCACACACACACACACAATCACACACAGTCACACACACAATCGCACTCACACTCACAATCACACACTCACAGTCAATCACTCAATCACACTTGTACTCACACTCACAATCACCATCACAGTCACACACTCACAATCACACAC